TGAGACACTGTCGGATAATGTTTGATAACTCTTTACTCTAATACTACGATATTGCACTTTTTGATTTTTCCTCATCCCAATAATCTATCAACTGTAATAAAAATAATACTAACAAGAGCCCGGTTTGAGCCGGGTGATGCTCCCCGAATAGGTTTTGGACACAGTAAAGTACACCTCTTGTAGTTTCAGAGTTATGTCCATGGAAAAAGTTCAAAGTGCAATAATTCCAAAATTAGGAAAGGCAGAGTTACTGTTCTTTGCACTGCACTTCTAATCACTGTTATCTATCAACTTACCAAGTTTCTTGTTGATATCTCTTATGGTTTCCGAGTTATGTTCCGGACAACTTCAAAAAGTAAAAATAAACAAAGGGCAATAACTCCAGAATTAGGCAAAACAGAGTTATGATTCTCATGCACTGCACATCTACCCATTGAGATACATCTACCTACAAAGTTTCATGTTGATATATCTTATAGTTTTACAGCTATGTCCAGTACAAGATTTTTCTTAAAGGGGAGATAATTCAAAAATGAGGCTTAACAGAGTTATGGTTCTTTTGCACTGCACTTCTACTCAATGAGATCTTTCTACCTACAATGTTTCATCTTGATATCTCTTATAGTTTTAGAGTTATGTTCCGGACAAAGTTCAAAGTGTTGAAATTAACAAAGGGCAATAACTCCAAAATTAGGACAAAAAGAGTTATTGTTCTTATGCACTGCACATCTACCCATTGAGATCTATTCACCTACAAAGTTTCATGTTGATATCTCTTATAGTTTTAGAGTTATGCCCCGGACAAGATTTTTCTATAAGGGGAGATAATTCAAAAACCGGGCAAAATAGAGTTATGGTTCTTTGACACTGCACTCCCCCTCAATGCCCTCTACCACTGTATGAAGTTTAAACAAATTATCTCCAAGGGTTTCCAAGTTATGCTCCGGACAAGAAAACGGACGGACAGACAGACGGACAAGGCGCCGACTATATGCTCCCCCGAAATTTTTCGGGGATAATAATAATAAAAATAATAATAATAATAACAATGATAATAATAAAACATTTTAAAGCAGCATGCCTCCAGATGAGCATTTTTTTCCCAAGAAAATAAATTAATTTAAGAAAAATTAAAAAAAATCACAATTCAAGTATTTATTTACATGTTATATGAAATGACTGGATGATTTTTGAAGTATTCATCACCATATTTCTACTGATTGGTTATTGAAATAAGGCTATTTTTACATAATTTGGCCATAGTAGTTGGTAATTTACGTGGGTTGAAAGCGCAGTTTGTAATGTGTAAAATACTTTCTTTGATAACTTGACATTATTTTACTTTCTAATATATTCTCAAAATGTTCATGAAAATTACCATGAAACTGGGGGCATGCTGCTGAAATGGGGGGTAAATTTACATTAAAAAAAGACAAGTATAATAATTATTGTATGTACATGTATAAACATGAAAACAAACATGAAATCCACCATACATTACCCCTCTTCGCATAATTTCATAACTCTTATCATATTTGCATATTTTTTATACCAATTAAAACAGAGATTGTCCCCAATCCTAATTAGTTTATCAACCTATTTTGTCATTTCAAATAATTACACATCATTAGACTGTGACCTTGGCAAAAAAAAGAGGAGAATCTAAGTTGCCCTGACCTATGTATGTACATCAGCAAAACAAAATCGCAAAAACATGCAAATTTTCACAGCACAATTGCATTTGAATTATACTTCCTACATACAGATGTCTCCTTTGGATATTATTAATTCATTGAATTGTTTTCCCATCCTTTTAACAAACCAAGCTATTGAATGAATTAAATGACTTGCAATAAGAAATATCAACTACAAAATTTGGCATCAAAATAAAAAAAGAGTCCCTGACCTAATAAAAAACAATCTACAAAAACTAAAATAAAAAAGTTTACAACAAGATTGCATTTGAGAAAAATGCTATGCCACCGCATTAATACAACACTAAATAGTAGTGTAGGAACAGATTTTTTTGTTTCTTTACAATTTTGAAGACTGTCATAAAGCATAGATCCCTGACCTATCTTATTCTTATTATCAGATAAGTGGTTAAATCTAATGTTAACTCAATAAAAGATCAGAGTAGGAATATATCAATGCACTAGAGTCTAGTGAATTTGGTGGTGAAATATGATAAACAAGATCAACAAGGAAAGGCGGCGTTCAATGAACGCAACCCCCATATGACCCAGCAGCAAGAACCAATGGCAAGGAGCCCAGGCGGACCCCAGGTGAAGCCTATTTCACACAGCCTAAATTTCATGACTACATCAAAAGAACAACACAGTAGACACTTTGTCAAAATCTAGGTCAGCTGAAATCAAAGTTCACTTTACATCTTAATCTGTGCACAGGGTTCAAATTCATAGCTGTACATCAAAGGACAAGAAAGTAGGTCACATCAACAAAATCTAGGTCACCTGATATCAAAGTTCAATTTACAACTAAAACTGTGCACATGGTCAAAATTTCATAGCTGTACATTAAAGGACAAGAAAAGTAGGTCACTGTCCCCTTGGGCAAGGCAAAATTTTGGACCCAAGGGTTTAATTCAAAAAATCTTGATACAGGTCCACCAAACAACATTTCAAGTCAAATATCTAAGCTGTAGCTTTCTCCCATTCAGAAAACATTTGTTTTATTTTCTGTTTTTACTATGTGTACATAATGAGAATCACTGCCCCCGGGCAGGGCCAATTTTGACACCAGGGGAAAAATTTGAACAACTTTGGTAGAGGACCTATAGATGATATTATATAGCAAACATCAAAGCTCTATCCCTTGTTCCTTCAGACAAAAATATTTTTTTTTATTTTTTTACTATGTGTACATAGTGAAAATCAATGACCCCTGGGGGTGGGGCCAATTTTGACCCCAGGGCTATAATTTGTACAATCTTGCTAGAGGTTCCTTACACAATGTTTCATGCAAAATATCTTAACTCTAGCCTTTGTAAATTGAGAGAAAATGATTTTTTAAATTTTTTTACTATATACATATAAGGAAAACCTATGGCCCCCGGGGCGGGGCTAATTTTGACACTAGAAGCAAAATTTGAACAACTTTGGTAGAGTTCCTATAGATGATATCATTTAACAAATATTAAAGCTCTAAGCCTTGTACCTTCAGACAATAAGATTTTTTACTATATATATATATAATTATATTTAAAATCAATGACCCCTGGGGCGGGGGCAATTTTGACACCAGGGCTATAATTCAACAACAATCTTGCTTGAAGTTCACTTCACAATGTTTCATGCAAAATATCTAACCTCTAGCATTTGTCAACTGCTAGAAGAAATTTTTTAAAAGTTTTTACTATAAGTTTTTACTATATATACATATAAGGAAAACCAATGACCCCCGGGCGGGGCCGATTTTGACCCCAGGGCTATAATTTGAACAATCTTGGTAAGGGTCTACCAGACAATGCCTTATGCAAAATATCTAAGCTCTAGGCCTTTTGGGTCTTTACAAGAAGGTATTTTAAGTTTTTACTATATGTACATATAGTGAAAGTCAATGACACTCGGGGCAGGCAGATTTTGACCCCAGGGCTATAATTTTGAACAATCTTGGTAAGGGTCTACCAGACAATGCCTTATGCAAAATATCTAAGCTCTAGGCCTTTTGGGCCTTTACAAGAAGGTATCTTAAGTTTTTACTATATGTACATATAGTGAAAATCAATGACCCCAGGGGCAGGGGCAATTTTGACCCTAGGGCTATAATTTGAACAATCTTGGTAGAGGTCTACCAGACAATGCCTTATGCAAAATATCTAAGCTCTAGGCCTTTTGGGTCTTTACAAGAAGATATTTTAAGTTTTTACTATATGTACATATAGTGAAAATCAATGACCCCCCCCGGGCCGGGCCAATTTTGACCCCAGGGCTATAATTTGAACAATCTTGGTAGAGGCCTACCAGACAATGCCTTATGCAAAATATCTAAGCTCTAGACCTTTTCAGTCTTTACAAGAAGGTATTTTAAGTTTTTACTATATGTACATATAGTGAAAATCAATGACCCCCCGGGGCGGGGCCGATTTTGACCCCAGGGCTATAATTTGAACAATCTTGGTAGAGGTCTACCAGACAATGCCTTATGCAAAATATCTAAGCTTTAGGCCTTTTGGGTCTTTACAAGAAGATTTTTTTAATTTATTCTTTTAATTCTTTTTGGTTGCCATGGCAACCAGATTTCTGCATGGAATGAAATTCTTTGAACAACTTTGGAACCCCTTCACCCAAGGATCAATCCTGCCAAGTTTGGTTGAAATTGGACTAGTGGTTTTTCACAAGAAGATTTTTTAAGTTCACTATATAATCTATATAACACACACACACAAACAAACACACACACACACAGGTGAATCGCTATATGCCACCGCATCGCAGATGCTGCGGTGGCATAAAAATGATGAGAAAATATACAAAACCTAAATCTAAACAAAAATTATTTGAAACACAAATGATGCATGTTACCCACATGATTGTCGTGAAAGATGCATGTTTGTTTCTTTTTCTGTCAGTAAAATGTCCTGTCCTTTATTGTTATTACACGTAAATACAGGATATTTGTTGTTTATTTTTTAGTAAATATGCTACATAGCACACTGAGAGGTGTGGATATTGCAATATTTACATGAGCATATAGCACAAGTGAAAATGTGTTTATTCTTTTGCATTACACTTTATAAATATATCGTCTCTAAAAATACTTCATATGTATTACACTTAAAAAATTATCTCTCAAAATGCTTCATATATATTACACTTAAAAAATTATCTCTCAAAATGCTTCATATGTATAACAGTTCATAAATTGTCTCACAAAATGCTTTATATGTATTATACTTTATAAATTATTTCTCAAAATGCTTCATATGCATTACACTTTATAAATATATCGTCTCTCAAAATGCTTCATATGTATTATACTTTATAAATTATCTCTCAAAATGCTTCATATGTATTATACTTTATAAATTATCTCTCAAAATGCTTCATATGTATTACACTTTATAAATTATCTCTCAAAATGCTTCATATGTATTACACTTTATAAATTATCTCTCAAAATGCTTCATATGTATTACACTTTATAAAATTATCTCTCAAAATGCTTCATATGTATTACACTTTATAAATTATCTCTCAAAATGCTTCATATGTATTATACTTTATAAATTATCTCTCAAAATGCTTCATATGTATTACACTTCATAAATTATCTCTCAAAATGCTTCATATGTATTACACTTCATAAATTACGGCTCAAAATGCTTCATATGTATTACACTTCATAAATTATCTCCCAAAATGTTTTATATGTATTACACTTTATAAATTATCTCCCAAATGCTTCATATGTATTACACTTCATAAATTATCTCTCAAATGCTTCATATGTATTACACTTCATAAATTACCGCTCAAAATGCTTCATATGTATTACACTTCATAAATTATCTCTAAAAATACTTCATATGTATTACATTTCATAAATTGTCTGTTAAAATGCTTCATATGTATTACATTTATTTTGCAATAAATTATGTGTGGACATCCAATCAAGTCAATAAAACAGTGGGCACAAACAGTGGTACATTAACATCACTGACAGCATGCAACAAAACCTTAGAATACACATAACTTATTGGTGCATACATATAAAACTATGATAAAATTGCATATCTAAGTGACACATATATGACTTGATATAAAGCTACCAGATAATTTTCATCAGTTTCTATGGCACACATGATGGTTAGGAACCAATCTTTAAACACACGATGGCTAGGAACCAATCTTTAACACATAATGGCTAGGAACCAATCTTTAAACACATGTTGATTAGGAACCAATCTATAAACACATTATGGCTAGGAACTAATCTTAAATTAGTAATGGTACAGTACCAATATTTAGCCTATAAACCTGAATGAATCCAAAGTTATTAGTCTTGGACCAGGCCAGTCAGTACTTCTGGTGCAATCTGACCAGAGGTTTTATATTCTAAGGAACTCATTTTTTTTTTGTAATTTGATACTGATTTCCATTATACTTTAAACGGACTGTTCCAAAATTCGAAGGAGTGAAAATTCATTTCACAAAGTCAGCAGGTTAAGGGTTTAAACAGAATGGTACCAGACCTTAATATAATAACATGATTTTGTAGCACAAGAAATAGTGACACAGACTGGTTTACATATATCTCATAGTCTTTTATTTTCAGAGCAGACTGGTTTAAGTAAATTTATTTTAATTGCAAAAACAGTTTACAATTTTTATTCAGTCATTGGTAAATGGGACGAAATGATTTTCAGGGAAAAATCAAATTTAAACATCAATGAAAAGACATTTATAATAAGACATTTATAATTATTTTAAGGAAAAAAAAATGAAATTCATGTATGTGTTTATGAAAAATAAAATAAGACAACCAGTCCACATGAAATACACTTTCATGATTTTAGCAAAACCAGTCTCTTTCCCAAAATTTTTATGAATGACATTTACAGAATTAGTCTACCAAAAATACTTTTGATTATGAACCAAAAAAGTCCATAATGCAATACTGGTCAATGAATGAATGTGTCACAATATATCGACCTAGATTCATGATACTTTGTACTGCGACGTTTAATCAGTACCATAAATTTACAAGACATTCAAGTAACTGAGAGATTATTTTCAACGATAAAGACTCGGTCCTGTGAAACAATGGCATACTGTGAATCGAAACACTTTACACTGGCATAAACACAATATAAATTTGTGAATGGATCTTATTGCAGACTGCATGCGGCATTGTAAGGGAGCAGTGAGCCTTTTCGTTGTGTAGATGAAGGGTGCGATTCAGTGTACGAAGTGCCCTCGACATGCTCGTGACTTTGTTGTGTAGCTAGTCACCTGGAGACGTTATCACGTCGCGAAATACTTGGCTTGTTGCCAAGAAGTTTGTCCAGTTCATGCATGATACCAGATGTTAGTTTCGAAACATACTGAAAAATTAAGTTGATAAATTATTAATCAGTTCAAGATATAAATGATCAGCAATTTTTTTTTTAATAAATGCATATTTTCTATTAAACTTAAATACATGTATACATTTTCATTCAAACATAAAACATTTGTTCAAATTCTTTTTCTGGTATTTTTTTCATTAGTTATTTTAAACAACAGATTTGTAAACAAACTGTTGAGATGTTGGATAAATTTACTAAGAAAATATAATTTAAGATCTTTAATCAATCAAAATTGATATTTCACTTTCAAGTGTGACAATGTCCTTGAATGTGCATGACAGGGGCATGGGTTCTACAAATTAACTAGTACCTTTCAATTGCGCCAAATTTGAAGGAAATCCTTCATAAGGAGCATGCAAATTTGTCTGACATTTCACCTTCAAGTGTGACCTTGTTTGCAGAAAAGCATTCAAAGTATGTAGGATTCATGTAATAGGCACAGTGGACTGACCAACTCAACAAAGAACTTTCAGTGTAACTCCCCCCTTCTCACCACCCATTTCTGTTGTGTGGGTATATTAAGATACATGTTTATTCATTCATTGAGCCTCTAAATAATTAGAAACTCAATTAAGTACATTTTTATTGTAACTTTTTGAACCACAAATGGGCTATGCCAAAATCAAGGTCAAGAAAAAGTTCATCACATAGATTTTGCTTGGAAGGGTTAAATAAATACACAATTCTATGGTTGGAAAATACTAACCTGCAAAGCTTGTATATTCTCGTAAAGTTGATCAACTGTAGATGCCCCCAATAAAACACAGTGTACATTCTCATTCTTTAAACACCATGCTAGAAAATAACACAAATATAACAGTATTCCTGTTATAATATACAGAAAGATTTTCATGCCCATCTTCCTTTATTACATACATGTTTAAAACTAAATTCATATGCATATTAATCTATACCAACCTCCAGGGTTGAATTTAGACAAAACAATTTATTATTTTTTAGTAAAAATTTCAAAATAAAATTGACCGAATAGCAAAAAGTGCAGACCCTGATGAAATGGCACAGATGTTCTGGCTGGTTTTGGCCTGCACTGGTTGCACTGATAGAATTAGTTGCTGCCAGCAAGCTACGGGCTAGTGTCAATGTTATACATTGCGCAAATATGTTACTTGTAAAAGGAGGTATCAGTTCTTGAACTGTTTTCGCAGGCTGGTCTGGATCCATGCTGGTCGCAAACCTATTATGTTGGTTTTGTCATGGCGCAACTCCTTTATCAATTTATATGGATGTCAAAATACTTCTTATGTTTACATTTTGCTACATTTATGGCACATTATTTCACATTAAGCACTACTTTCTTACGGCAACAAACTTCTAACATGCTCTAAAACAATTACTTAAATGTTGTAAATAAAGTTTATGTTTGCCATTTCTAAAGAAGTTAATAAAATTTTCTAAGCATCTGAGGCATAATGTGCCTGTAATAAAGAGTGTAAATCTATACAAATGGTGAAATATACTCAGTTGTATAAGAAATTTCACTGGATATACAATGATCTTGTTTTCATACATATATTATTGTTTTTTAAAAAACTTACCCCAGGTTAAAGGTTAAACATTTTAAGATACAATATACATGTATTACCTATGGCGAGCTGTGACAAAGAACAGCCTAACTTGTCAGCTATCTCAGCAATTTCCCGAAGTTTGGTCTGCTGACGTCTGCCCTCGTCACTCAATATCTTGTCCTTTAACCAGCTATATCCCTGAATATAACATCATATATGTTAAAATGTCCTTTAACCAGCTATATCCCTGAATATAACATCATATATGTTAAAATGTCCTTTAACCAGCTATATCCCTGAATATAACATCATATATGTTAAAATGTCCTTTAACCAGCTATATCCCTGAATATAACATCATATATGTTAAAATGTCCTTTAACCAGCTATATCCCTGAATATAACAGCATATATGTTAAAATGTCCTTTAACCAGCTATATCCCTGAATATAACATCATATATGTTAAAATATCATTTAACCAGCTTTATCCCTGAATATAACATCATATATTTTAACATGTCCATTAACCTGAGCTATATCCCTGAATATAACATCATATATGTTAAAATGTCCTTTAACCTGAGCTATATCCCTAAATATAACAGCATATACGTTAACATTTTTACAGAAATAAACATCATAGCTCAAAAACTTTACCAAATGCGTATGTATAAAATATTGTTGAATGCTGTGTCATTAGGGAAGGCAGAGCATTAATCAATTCATCAGTGTTTATTAAAGTATTATAATTAGCCATGAGGTTGATTTCCGGTTTTCGTTTGAAAGGTATTATGATTGAAATGATATCTGCCATTTGATTTTTTGCATCGAATAACTTCATCTATAAATGTTTAGAAAAACATCATTTGGATTGGGAGAAAATCTAACACGCCTTACTGGGCAAGTTTTATCAACTTTTTTCTCACCAGACCCAAACTTTCACTCACAAATACAAGCAGATGAGACTGAATAAGTTTTTTTCTTTTTCTTCTTAAACAGATTTCATATCCTACTAATATAAGAAATAAATAAAAAAAATCATAAGCCACTACAATATACATAATACATTTTTCTAATAAACTTTCATGGCAGAACAATGCTATCAATCCTGCTCTCTTTCCATAATTAGAAACACAATGTTCTATAATTAGTAACACAATGTTCTATAATTAGTAACACATTAAAATAATTACCTTTAGTGCAGCTCTGGAATATATTGGTATACCATCATCATATTTACCACTGAGAATACCACTTGCTAGAGGTGACCAAATTATAGTCCCTATACCTGTGTTAACAGTGAACATTACATATACTGAACAGTACATATAGTGAACTAAACTTATATATAAATATGTATATTTCTTTCTGACATAGGCTTTTATAAATCATACAAGTTACTAATCCACTTTTATAGTCCCTATACCTGTGTGAATAGTGAACATTACATATACTGAACAGTACATATATAGTGAACAGTACATTAAGGTTAAACATATAAATATATATATATCATGTATATATTTCTTTCTGACCTTGGCTTTTATAAACCATACAAGTTACTAATCCACTTTTTAAATAATTATTAAATGAAAATTTTCATATACCAATATCACAACTGAAATAATATAAACATTGTAATACCTCTACCAGCATGAGAAATGTGTGATAGTTGATAAAAATCTTCATAAGGCGATATGTTCAACTATAATAGTAACACAATTAACAATTAAAAAACCCTGGTGACATCTCTTAAGTTTCTAGCATAACATTTTCAGTGCCTGATTGCAAAACCGTAACCTATCCATAAAAGAACAAGACAGTGATTTTCCTAAATTTTTAAGGGCAGGGAGTGAATAAGGATCTTTATGTTCAAATATTTGTTTTTTATATTCAAATATTTTCTAATATTTGTTTTCCTGAGGTGTTGTTCTTGAATACTTGAATAAAATTCCCAACCCTATAATTTTTAGTTATAGAATCGACACTCTAAGTACAACATTAAGTATATTTTTACATGAAATCTGTACCTATCTTATGGTATAGCTCTGGCATTTGTGTCTCCACTTTCTCTCTCTGGAACAGATGATACTCTGTCTGTTCTGCTATTGGTGGAATCAGATTAAATTGTCGGGCTACAGAATATGCCTCCTGTAATATACATTTGAGTCGCGTCACGACAAAACCAACATAATGCGTTTGCGACCAGCATGGATCCAGACCAGCCTGCGCATCCGCGCAGTCTGATCAGGATCCATGCTGTTTGCTATCAGTTTCTCTACTTGTAATAGGGTTTGTAAGCGAAGAGCATGGATTCTGATCAGACTGCGTGGATGCCCAGGCTGGTCTGGATCCATTTTTGTCGCAAACGCATTACGTTGGTTTTGACATGACGCAGCTCATATATTAACACATTAACATTCAGAATAATCCACAGTTTTACAGTATTACATGAGTGTGTTATACTGATACAATGCACACTTATATGAAGTGTTATATAATCAAAACAGAGTCATATGTCTTAAAGGACACAATATTTACTTGAATATAAAAAATCATTTATTTTGATTTTTTCTCTGTAATTACTTTGTTTAAAAGGATTGTAATCCTAGCTGTAGAAAGGTAAATATGTAGCCTGCTTTCAACACTGCTACAGTGATATATAATACCATTCTATAGCAACCAATTCATTCATTATTTACAAAATCAATGTGGCTTTTCCAGGACAAGAATTTCACTTGCCCAGTTTCATATATTAAAAGATAAATTGTAAATAATGGTGAAGACATGGTGCTTGTAAAAGATTTCAAAATATTATAAAAAGACGAATTTTGTCATATAGAGAAAATGAAACATTTTAAAACAAATTAAATGATCGTTTTTGGTAACAATTCTATTGATTACAACCCTAAATATTATAGATCTAGCAAAATATGTTATGTGTTACCATGATTTCAGTTGGGCTCCATCTGGACGTTCCCCAGTACATAGCCCAGCCTTGATTGATACAGTGGGTGAAAGCTCTTACGGTTTCTGAAAAATTTACGAAATATCAAAATCATTTAGAAGTCTGTAATGAAATAAAACATTAATCATTTAATTGATATTGAGGAGAATAAATTATAAACCAACAATAAAAGAAATTATCAAGCATTTTCCATATTTAATTAGGCTAACTCAACAAACTATCTGTGGGGTCTTACAAAATATTGTGGGTAAGTTTGTACAAATGAAAATAAAAATATCTTAATATAAACAAGCAATTATCATAGTATTGCAAGCAATCCATAAGTCCCCTACCGGATGGAACCCCATCAACATTCTGAAGGGCCATTGGCCATTCACTAATGTTTTTATAGTAAATTCGTTGGAAAAGTTCTTTAAAAGTGATCACAGGAAACAGTTTTGTTGAAAAGACAGACGGACTGAAGGACACTCTAAATTTAATATTTGAAACATCCGTTACCAAAATATAACAATTTAAAAAGCAAAATTCTTAAAGAGGAGATAACTCTGGAATTAAAGATGCAATTTCATAAAAAATTTCAGCTCTTTTTGACTAATCACAAATATTGTTATATTTGCCATGTTTTAAGCCTATTTGTTGCCAAGGCAACCAATATTTTTTCAAAATAAGAAGAACAGATAAGACATGCATAATCTCAAGACTGCCATCTACCCATATATCAAGTTTCATAAAAATATTTCCAGTACTTTTTAAGTTATCACTGGATTCAGTTTATGTGTAAAATTTGCCATACTTTCAGTCTATGTGTTGCCATAGCAACCAGAATTTTCAAAGAAAAAGATGTGCATAATCTCCAGACTGCCATCTACACATATTACAAGTTTCATAAAGATACTATCACTTTTTGCGTTAACACTGGATCCAGTTTATGTGTAAAATTGCAATATTTTCAGTCTATTTGTTGCCATAGCAACCAGAATTTTCAACATAGGAATTAAAGAAAAAGACATGCATAATCTCCAGACTACCATCTACCCATATTTTAAGTTTCATAAAAATATTTCCAGTACTTTTTGCGTTATCACTGGATCCAGTTTATGTGTAAAATTTGCCATATTTTCAGCCTATTTGTTGCCATAGCAACCAGAATTTTCAACATAGGAAGAAAAGAAAAAGACGTGCATAATCTCCATACTGCCATCTATCCATATATCAAGTTTCATAAAAATATTTTCAGTACTTTTCAAGTTATCGCGGGATCCAGTTTTGTGGACGGACGGACTGACGGACTGACAGACGGACGGACGGACAGACAGACAGACGGACGGACGGACAGACGGACGGAGGGTAAACCTAAAGTCCGGAGAGACTAATAAAGTTTTAAGCTTTAACTGCTGAAATGTACAATTTAAAAAATTCAGAACTGTTCAATTTCCTATTTTCATATCAATATGGTGAAAAATGACTATTAAATGCACATGCATCAAATATATGAATAGAATGGCAGTGTGGCCCAGTGGTTAATGCACCAGACTAATAATCTAAGGATTGCTGACTGCGTGAGTTAAAACCCTGTCAGGGGCAAGCCGTTGTTTCCTTGAGCAACAAACTTCACACTCATTGCTAAGTACTGGTTGGTTCCAGGCATATCTCCAAAAGTATTTCAATAACCTTACAGCTTTCAACACAATCAAACTAAAATAAATTTGTATAAACTTCATAAATGAATTTGAATAAAATACTCCCTAGTAAAATATTGATACCTTCCATAGGAGTGTGAACATCTGGTTTGTTGGCAAATACAACATCCACATATTCTAACTGTAGTCTCTCTAATGATGCTTTCAACCCTGTAATTATAAAAATACAAAAATCATTCTGTTACACTCCATTGTGTGAAAGTCACTATAAAAGTTTTTGTCAGTTTTAAGTCAGCCGTTACGTAGAAAATAAAAATGTCTTCAGATATATTTGAATAAACTTTCATAACACATGTACATGTATATATTTAGTGGACATTTGTCTTTAAAATATCGTTTTTTCAACACTGGTTATTTAAAATTTTGTGAATTATAAAAACTTTACCTCTTAATACTAACAGAGTAAGAAAATTTTGATAAGTTATAGGTAATGTTTGTGGACAGTAAGTGTCTTAGGTAAGGTTAATTCTCTAATAACAATTCTACTCTATTTAAACAATGATGTTTTCATAAAAAATTAAAAATGAAGGCATGACGCTGCTTTACATTTGTGAAGGACAGATACGACAAATCCGGAACACTTATTAACTACAATGAATATAAATTATTAGAATATACCTTCTATAATGTGCTTTCTTGAGAGTCCCTTCTCTGTTTCCGCTCTAAAAATAAAGGTAAGTAAACATCTTAATTACAAACCTACTCTGACCAATACAATATATTAAAATTTAATAATTAAATTTACAAATTGTTTTAAAATTTCAACCAAAAGACTTGCAACATTTTTCACTCAAAACGGACTAAAAATAGCATTAAAATTGATTTCTCATTTATTTCAGAGGATATCTCTGATTTTATTTTGCATATATTTTTGTTTTCAGTACCCTAATTGATCTATGTAAGACATTTAAAAAAAAAAAAAATATTTAGAACTCAGTGGAGTTCCATTAAGACACAAGATCTTAAATATATGGGTTTTTTTTAGAATATACTACTTAAAATATAGCATTTAAACTAGATAATAGGAGAAAGTTAATCTTTGGCTCTATCATATGACAAAGAATTTTATACAAACAGATACAAGTTATATGCACCTACACAATGCTTTGTCTGTCTAGGTGTGTTGTAAAGACAAGCTGATACTGTAATATGTAAAACTTAAAGGATCACTTGGAGCACTTGAACCATAGCCTGCCGGAACCAGAAGTGATAAATGTTAGCTACACCAGTCTGACCAAGTTCTATATTCATTACTGGTGGCTGACCAACTTCAAATCTTTCATCTTGATATCCCCAAAATTGCTAATTCATAGCTCCAAAAAATGAAAGCTTGACGAGTCTTTTTAAGAAATTTTGCAAGTTGGAGGTTAACCACTTCTCACAGGTAGCCATGTCATGATGATACAAAATGTAATTGTAATTGCTTAGGCTGCACATCTTAACATTTTAAGAAATTATCACTATGTTTGTAATGATACAAATGTCCAGTACCAATCATAAATCTAAACCAGTTTCATTTCATCACCTCAGACACAAGTGCATATCTACATTAAAATTTTGTATATAATTAGTTTTAACCAAAAAAAATCTATATATCTTAGGTAAATTGTAATCACTTACTTCCCACCCCAGTATATCTTGGAAGATACAATGTAGCTGGAGCGTCTGAAATATTAGAAAGAAATTAACATTGTAATTTATATTCAAATTACTGGGAAATCTGTTTAAAACAGTTGTCACAATTGTTAAAGAAAGAACCTGTGAAAACAATATACCCTTTTGACCTAATACCAACTATAAGAACTACCAACTATAAGAACTAATACATTCTGACTTCACAAGCAGAAATCTTAATAATTATTTTAAAAATAGGCAAGCATCAATGTGTTTTTATCTTTTGTTCAACTTTTTTTTAGAGGGAGATGGTGAAGATTAAAGTCAAAATCCTATGATTCAGTTTTATTTTGCATATCTTTTTATTTTAAGTGCCCTAATTGATCTTATAATGTATGAAATTTATTGTTTGGGGGTTGTAAGGCCTGACAGTGGAGTAAGAGGAATGGACAGTCACCTGACAATTTCTTATCAAAGTTCACAAATTTTGTACATGTGATTCGTAATTCTCTTATAACCTTCACTCTAAGATATAACAACAAAACACATATATATCAAATTTACTGTTTAATTCAAATGAACAATAATTCATCTACTTGAACTTAATGAATCATTAAAAGATCAAACATAATAAGGCATACAATGGGATAGAATTACCTACTACCCTATATACATTGTATATAACTGAATTATTTGTCTAAATGGCATCTGGACATCAGGAGAAAATCATTTACAGGTGTTGATGTACAACTTATATCTTTAGATAATAGATGTAGTAATCACATTACTCAAAACCAATCTATCTAGATGTAGCTAAACTTGTGCCAACTTGTAACAGACAGGCCTAGCAGTGCCAAGTAATTAATAAATCACCTCTCATGTCATGACATGTGACCATATAATCTACTGTAATATCAATCTCAACACGGAGACATATATTTTAGCTAGAAATTGACATAGCACTAATACCTAGACTTAAAATCAACTTTCCATTTGTCAATCAATCGATCAATCAATCAAATTAATCAAATCAACCAACCAAAATACCAATCAAATTCTATCAATCAATCAATCAATCAACCAACCAACCAAAATACCAATCAAATTCTATCAATCAATCACTCAATCAATCAATCAATCAAACAAACAAACTGAAAACTGATGTTTCAAAAGCTTTGAACCCAAAATTAAGCTTAATAACCTAAATTTTAAATAATTTAATTTTCCCCTCATATTTTTATATTACAAAATTTATATTTACAAATCTGAATTACTTTGTTACTGTATTTTTTTTTAAACATGGACAAGTAATAGAATAATCTTATGACCTATTTCATAAGGCTTTGTGTGCTTCGGCCAAGGGTAATGGGTTCAAGTTCTACAAGGATTTTCATAATTTTTCCTTAACTCAAAAGCTTTCTAGAAATTGACAAATCACTAATACCTAGATTTTAAATTGACATCAACTTTTCATGTGTCAATCAAGCGATTGACAAGCTAGCAATTAAATTAATAAGTAAAAAGCTAACCATAAATGTATTATCATTTAAATTATACATATGCCATACCTCCATGATTTCTTCTGTAAGATTTTACCCAGGACGATCTCGGCTCTGAAATGACAAATACTTACATTGGCTGAATAAATTAACACTACTGGATCAACATTAAAACAGAACTTGTAGGTACAGTAACAACAACATATATACCAACTGTGACCACACAAAAAAAAACACGACCTCAAATCAATACTGACAATAATAATCACATTAACAACTCAACACAACTCAGTTTTACTGGTGTGGTGTCTTCTTAGTCCCTCAACACCTAGCTTTGGATCAGCAATCATTTTTACCGTCTGATTAAGTAAGTGATGAAAAAAATGAACACAGTGCTTTATTTCTCAAGGTCATATGATTCTGATGAGTACTTCTCTATATTACAAAGCTAAAACATGGCTTTCACTTAAGTTATCAGTAACAAATACACAGCAATCTGACAACTACAGTTAACTGTAAAAACAACAATTTCGTAAAAAAAATATTTAAATTTAATCGTCTAAAAAATTGTTGAAACCTTTAAGAAAAATCCAAAGCATATGAATAATTATCTAAATTACCAGTTGTTCACTGTGAAAGAACAAATTTTTAGCCACTAAATAACTTTTCCTTGTTGATTATCTACAAAATGATATTTTCTATAAAGCAATGTGATGGCACACAATAACTAGGAAGTTTTGACATTTTCTAAATAATTCTGTAAAAACGAAAACTTCTGAAAGATTGTGTTAGTTTTTCAAAAAAACAAGAGTTATTTTGTTAAACATGCTTTTACAAAGACTGTTAAAATTCAATCCCATTATCAGAGAAGATCTGAGATAAATAATATTAAACTAAAGATAAGAAGAAGCTTTGCCAAGTCATACTGTTTTCAGTCTTTCCAAAGAGAGATGATTCCAAAAATTATATGTACATGTATAGATGTGAGTGAAGGAGAGGTAATAGAAATAACTTGTTAAAACATGCTTAAATAATCACATAGTTTCAATGACCCCCGAGTCAGACAAGAGGGCCATGATGGCCCAAAGGTCGCTCACCTGTATGTAGGCAGGGGTGTGGAAATTTGATTTTTTTCCACTTGCCCACGGACAAGTTGGACTGAAATTTCTACTTGTCCGCAGCTGAAGTTGACTTGCCCAAATAAACAGTGAAAAACAGGTTTATTTCAATGGCTTTATTAGACAAACATTTTTTCTAAACATTTTCATAACTACTACCATGTTTGTACAGTTATAAATGAACAATTATAAAAGAGTTGAAAGCAAACATTATTTAAACAGAACTGTTTTATTGTGTATGTGAACATATTGTCAATAGAATCATGGTAAACATGCTATAGACTAGAACATTCTGTTAAACACATCCTGGGTTACATTAAGGCACAGGCGTTAGTTGGGTTATCAGTCATATTTTTCAGTTTTTCCCTTGCAATGTCTTCCCCACCTAGGGTTTTCACAATTTCACTTAACATGGGCTGTATGCTATCCATCTCAATAGTTGCCTGGGTAGATGTGGAGGCTATGCTTTCAGAGGTCAAAGTGGCTGATTTTTGTGGTGGCTTATGACGTATGTGTCTATGACCAGACTTAAGCCATTCTTCAACAGAAGGTAAAGGGTCAAACATGGAGAAATCTGGACCAGAGACAACAATTCTCATTTGACTCTGCAGGTTTTCTTGGGTAAGGCGAGTTCTAAGATGACTCTTGACAAGATTCATTGGAGAAAAAGGCATCTCACAAGCAACAGTGGAGGGAGAAATTGTGAGCAAAAGCTGCAGCAAAGCACTGATGTGTTTAACAGAATCTTCCTTTCTTTGCAGTATGGACGTATATACTGCAAGGGGTGATAAGTTCTATGCAAAAATACCTGATTAGAGGAGACCTCTTCCTCTGTTAACAAATCATTACAGTGCTCACACAGCAGTTTAATTACCTTACAACCATATGTGCTAAGCTCAGTAAGTGAACTCGACCAATTTCTGAAGTCAAATACCCTGTACAGATTTAATTGAGGGTTCTCAAGATCCTTAAATCTTTCTAGAACATATTGACTGATTTTATCAAATAAACAGTGAATGTCATTGTCATCTTTGAAGTCACTAAGAGACCCATTCAGTTTAAATTTACCATCAAACAGGGATGTTTCAGGATCATACAAGCTGTAGAATTTGGACAAGTGTTCACCTGGTTCATTGGTCATTGCATGCAAACACATGTACAATGTATCTACAACTTCCTTCACCTCAAACATCAACAAATCTTTATTTTGAAACAAGACTGAAGTTTTGGTTATGGCTGTAAGCACATCTAGCATGACATAAATGTATTTAACAAATTTTACACTTTTAAGATCAGTTAAAATTGCTTTAGCTTGTCCTAGCTCATTTGCCCTATTAGATGTTTCAAGAATTTGCTCCATGTGTGTGACTGTAACATTAATATCCTGACAGACTGCTTCTAATGCACGCAGCTTGGAAGAAACCCACCTAATTGCCTTAATTTCAGTGTGCATCTTTAAGCTTTCATCAAGAAAAGAAGCAAGCTTTTTCAATTCTTCTCTCCTCTTGGGAGAAAAAGAATAAAATTTACAGATTCTCTTAAGAGTTTCCTCAAATTTTTTCAAATACCCCACTTGCTTAACTGCATCTAAGACACCTAGTTCAAGTGTATGTGCCACACAGTGTGTTACAATAACATTGTTATCAACTGCATCACTCAGCTTTTTCGCAACACCATTCTTTGCACCTAAATTAACTGCAGCTCCATCAAGATTTACACACACCAATTTTGAATTTTCATTAGACAGATTATCAATATCAATGTTGCACTTCAATAAACCCCTTTTAATAGCATCAACAACACCGTCAGCCCTTGCATTTTCTAGATTCTCAATACTGGCAATGGATGTAACCGGCTCATATGTTTCAGGGTGTACATAGCGTAACAAAATGCCTTCCTGATCTATTACAGAAGAGTCAGTGCTTGAGTCACTCATGATAGAAAAGTACCTAACATTTTTTAAGTTTGCTTTTGTTTCATTTAATAGTACATTTGAAATGGAATTCTGGAATACTACACAGGTATCTCTAGATAAGTGATCATTTCCTAATTCAGCCCCATTTTTCTTTTGCACTTCACAGAGAAAAGGATAGTCACTGTAAGGGCGATTGTGCTTTATAACAGCATAAGCAGTATTAAACAGCTTTTTGTATCTCTCTATTTCATGCATTTCAACTTTAGATATAGACTTTTGTATGGGTCCTTGTTTACTTGGTTTTTGCTTGAACTCGGACTTGGACACACATGAAATATGTTTAGATGATATTTGATGAGATGAAAGAGTGTCCTTTCTTATTAATGTGGCGGCAGACTTCCCTACGTACATGGCCGAGGTCGTATCCGCCGTTTGCGGGAACATTCTACAAATATGACAAAAAAGTTTGTCCGAATGATCATCCTTTCTTAGCCAAGAAAAATCGTTAAACCAGCTATCTTTAAACACACGCATGCGTTTACGGTCATATTCCTTGTCTCTTTGGGCTTTAGATTTACGCTTTTCTGGTTCTTTGGGTGTTTCAGGCAGCTTTGCACCACCAGAACGAACGACAAATTTGTCCATTTCGTACCAAAATAACTTTACAACGCGACCTTCATAATGGGCATTATTTACTAAAGCACCGGTTGGTTGCCTCGATACGACCTATTCCAAGAATAGCGAGAGGCCTCATACGGGGGAAAATAGCATTTATTTACATCGATTTATTCATGCTGCGGGAGGTAGTTTATAATTTAATTTTACGCATATTAAATACGGATTAAACATTATTGGGATAAAAATTAACGTTCGTTATCAATTTTATGTAAGAATTTTGGCATTTTGCTTTAATTTTCTGGCTCAGAAATTCACTTGCCCGCGGACAACCGCTACGTGAAAATCTACTTGTCCGCCGGCAAAAAGTCCCGAGTCGGGCAAGTCGGGCATAGTAATTCCGCACCCCTGATGTAGGCCCCCGGAGCGGGGCCAGTTTAAACCCCAGGGCTTTTATTTGAACAAACTTGGAAGACACCTATAAGACACCTATAAGAAGACGTTTCATGATGTACACACTTATAATGAAAAACAATGATCTGCCCTCCCCTACCCCCGGCAGGGCCAATTTTAACCAAGGGCTTTTATTTGAACAAACTTGGTAGACACCCATAAGAAGATGTTTCATGCTAAACATCTAAGCTGTAGCTCATTGTGTTTTTTTTAAAGAAGATTTTTTAAGTTTTTACTATACACATATAGTTAAAAACAATGACACCCCTGGGGCAGGGCCAGTTTTGACCCCAGGGCTTTTATTTGAACAAACTTTGTAGACACTCACTAGAAGATGTTTCATGCTTAATATCTTAACTCTAGCTATTTAGGTTTTTTCAAAGAATACTTTTTAAGTTTTTGATATACACATATATAAGGAAAATCAATGACCCCCGGGGCGGGCCAATTTTGACCCCAGGGCTCTTATTTGAACAAACTTGGTAGACACCTATTAGAACATGTTTCATGCTAAATATCTTAGCTCTAGCTCTTTGAGTTCTTTAAAAGAAGATTTTTTAAGTTTTTACTATATACATGTACATATAGAAAAAATCAATGACCCCCTGGGGCGGGCCAATTTTGACCCCAAGGCTTTTATTTGAACAAACTTGGTAGACACCCATTAGAACATGTTTGATGCTAAATATCTTAGCTCTAGCTCTTTGAGTTCTTTAAAAGAAGATTTTTTAAGTTTTTACAATATACATATAGGGAAAATCAATGACCCCCTGGGCGGGGCCAATTTTGACCCAGGGCTGTTATTTGAACAAACTTGGTAGACACCCATTAGAACATGTTTCATGCTAAATACCTTAGCTCTAGCTCTTGAAGTTCTTTAAAAGAAGATATTTAAAGTTTTTACTATATACATATAGGGAAAATCAATGACCCCCTGGGGCGGAGCCAATTTTGACCCCAGGGCTTTTATTTGAACAAACTTGGTAGACACCCATTAGAACATGTTTCATGCTAAATATCTTAGCTCTAGCTCTTTTGGTTCTTTAAAAGAAGATTTTTTTAAGTTTTTACTATATACATATAGGTAAAACCAATGAGCCCCTGGGGCGGGGCAATTTTGACCCCAGGGCTTTTATTTGAACAAACTTGGTAGACAACCATTAGAACATGCTTCATGCTAAATATCTTAGCTCTAGCTCCATGAGTTCTTTAAGAGAAGATTTTTAAATTTTTACTATATGCATACAGGGAAAATCAATGACCCCCTGGGGCGAGGCCAATTTTGACCCCAGGGCTTTTATTTGAACAAACTTGGTAGACACTCATTAGAAGATGTTTCATGCTAAATATCTTAGCTCTAGCTCTTTGGGTTCTTTAAAAAAAGATTTTTTAAGTTTTTACTATATGCATATAGGGAAAATCAATGACACCCTGGGGCGGGGCCGATTTTGACCCCAGGGCTTTTATTTGAACAATCTTGGTAGACACTCACTAGAAGATGTTTCATGCCAAATATCTAAGCTCTAGCTCTTCGGGTTCTTTAAACGGAGATTTTTTAAGTTTTTACTAAATGCATATAGGGAAAATCAATGACCCCCTGGGGCGGGGCCAATTTTGACCCCAGGGCTTTTATTTGAACAAACTTGGTAGACACCCATTAGAACATGTTTCATGCTAAATATCTTAGCTCTAGCTCTTTGAGTTCCTTAAAAGAAGATTTTTTAAGTTTTTACTATATACATATAGGGAAAATCAATGACCCCCTGGGGCGGGGCCAATTTTGACCCCAGGGCTTTTATTTGAACAATCTTCGTACACACTCACTAGAAGATGTTTCATGCGAAATATCTAAGCTCTAGCTCTTTTGGTTTTTTAAAAGAAGATATTTTAAGTTTTTTTCTTTTGGTTGCCATGGCAACCAGAGTTCTGCATGGAATTAAATTCTTTGAACAATTTTTAAAGGTGACCACCAAAGGAACATTCCTGTGAAGTTTGGATGAAATTGGCTTAGTGGTTTATGAGGAGATGTCATTTAAAGTAAAAGTTTACGGACGGACGGATGACGGACGGACGACGGACGAAAAGCGATCACAAAAGCTCACCCTGTCACTTTGTGACAGGTGAGCTAAAAAATAAAACCACTACTGCTTAAAACAGCCTTGTTTATTTACAAAATTTAATGTCTACCCAATTTCTTGTCTTTCTTTAACAGTCTGAAGAGGTAAATTTTGTGAACAGTCAACTAAATACACTTACACCGAATTAAGAATATTTTGGGTTTTTCCCCAGCTTATGTTGGGGTACAAACAAACTTTTACAGTAACAGCTTCGGAAAACTGTAAGGCGCAGCAGGTTGGCTATTGATTGATTTTCTTTAGACCGGGCGGTCAAGGATAACCTACGAAAGTGCAAGCACTTATTTCCAGTAGGGTCCTTACCTCAGCAGACACTAGAGACAGCTATGAGATACAAGGAAATCCGGGAACCCGTCCCTAGCTCTTATTGAATAGATTCCTTGGTTCTTTTACATGCCCAGTGTATAGCACTGATACATGCGAGGATTACCTGGGTTTCATACCAGTAAACCTCTAGTTAATTTATTGCTGTGACTCGTTAGTGCACCGTGAAGCTATAATGGTAAAAGTTTGTTTGCCAAGTTCCAGATAATATCTATTTACATACACCCTTTAATCTATAATTTCTTTTAAATCAGTATTTTGGCTTCTCACCAGTTGTATTAAAGGGACTCCATTGAGGTTTATTGACAAGATGGGACTGGAAATATATTGTTTTATTGTTAATAAATGTATTGTTTATTGTTTTTATATAACATTTCATGTCGGTTCTAGCCAATAACTTGTTTTCAAAATTTCAGATCATATACTCCATTCTTTCGTATTAATTAGTCTTTAATTGTGAAAACTGTGAAAAATGACACAAAATTGAAAAGTCTTCACTTAAATGCTTTTATCTGACAATCTGAGTAACAATCATAAAAGAAATGATTTTCAATTTAATTAGGAGTATATTTCTTCAAAACTTTCCCATATATTTCTGTTTTATTAAGTGCCCTAGTTGCTCTTTGCAAAAATTTCAAATTTTTATGTTTACAGTTTTTAGACTTTTGGACATCAGTGGTGATGGAACCTCAGTGGAGTTCCTTTAAGGATATTAATTTAAAGAAAATGTGTCTTAAGCTAAACTTGTGACACAAAGATCCATCTATGGACCATGTGTTTTTCCAGTATTTTTAATTAAAAGCAGGCACCTTGTTCAGAACAGAATTAAAGCTGGAGGATTAGGATTATAGACTAGTGCAAAGCACTTTGTCAAGTTAGTGCAGTAATGGGTTAAGTCCTTTATTTTACAGGAGTTAACCAGTTATTGCACTAAGGTGACAACTTTAATAACATACCTTCAAGATTTCACCGACAATCTTAATGTATCAAATCTGTATACAATTAATACATTGATTTTGTATAAAATAGTTTTCAAAATTATCTTGGATTTAAAAAAAAAACAAGATTGCATTTGAGAAAAATGCTATGCCACCGCAATGTTCAAATTTCATAGCTGTACATCAAAGGACAAGAAAGTAGGTCACATCATCAAAATCTAGGTCACCTGATATCAAAGTTCAATTTTACAACTAAAACTGTGCACATGGTCAAAATGTCATTGCTGTACATTAAAGGACAAGAAAGTAGGTCACTGTCCCCTTGGGCAAGGCATAATTTTGACCCAAGGGTTTAATTCAAAACAATCTTGATACAGGTCCACCAAACAACATTTCAAGTCAAATATCTAAGCTATAGCTTTCTCCCATTCAGAAAACATTTGTTTTATTTTCTGTTTTACTATGTGTACATAATGAGAATCACTTCCCCCGGGCAGGGCCAATTTTGACACCAGGGGAAAAATTTGAACAACTTTGGTAGAGGACCTATAAATGATATATATATATCAAACATCAAAGCTCTATGCCTTGTACCTTCAGACAAAAATATTTTTTTATTTTTCACTATATGTACATAATGAACATCAATGACCCCCGGGCAGAACCAATTTTGACCCCAGGGCTATAATTTTAACAATCTTGCAAGAGGTTCACTACACAATGTTTCATGCAAAATATCTTAACTCTAGCCTTTGTAAATTTAGAGAAGATGATTTTTTAAGTTTTTACTATATACATATAAGGAAAACATATGGCCCCGGGGCGGGGCTAATTTTGACACAAGAGGCTAAAATTGAATAACTTTTGTAGAGTACCTTAAGATGATATTATTTAACAAATATTAAAGCTCTACGCCTTGTACCTTCAGACAATAAGATTTTTTGATTTTTTACTATATGTATATATTGAAATCAATGACCCCAGGGCGGGGGACAATTTGACCCCAGGGCTATAATTTGAACAATCTTGCTAGAGGTTAACACAATGTTTCATGCAAAATATCTAACCTCTAGCATTTGTCAATTGCTAGAAGAATTTTTTTGAAGTTTTTACTATATACATATAATATAGCATAATGGAAAACCAATGACCACCGGGGCGGGGCCGATTTTGACCCCAGGGCTATAATTTAAACAATCTGGGTAGAGGTCTACCAGACAATGCCTTATGCAAAATATCTAAGCTCTAGGCCTTTTGGGTCTTTACAAGGTGTTTTAAGCTTTTTCTATATGTACATATAGTGAAAATCAATGACCCCGGGGCGGGGCCGATTTTGACCCAAGGGCTATAATTTGAACAATCATTGTAAGGGTCTACCAGACGATGCCTTATGCAAAATATCTAAGCTCTAGGCCTTTTGGGTCTTTACAAGGAGGTATTTTAAGTTTTTACTATAATTATGTACATAGTGAAAATCAATGACCCCCGGGGAGGGGCCAATTTTGACCCCAGGGCTATAATTTGAACAATCTTGTTAGAGGTCTACCAGACAATGCCTTATGCAAAATATCTAAGCTCTAGGCCTTTTGGGTCTTTACAAGAAGATTTTTTAAATTTATTCTTATAATTCCTTTTGGTTGCCATGGCAACCAGATTTCTGCATGGAATTAAATTCTTTTGAACAACTTTGGAAGCCCTTCACCCAAGGAACAATCCTGCCAAGTTTGGTTGAAATTGGACCAGTGGTTTTTCACAAGAAGATTTTTTAAGTTCACTATATAATCTATATAACACACGCACAAACACACACACAAACACACACACACACAGGTGAATCGCTATATGCCACCGCATCGCAGATGCTGCGGTGGCATAAAAAACCCTCTTTTGCTATTCTTTGTAGACAATATATTACAACTATACAAGGCTATTCTAAACAGTATATGAGTATTGCCAAACATGCAGCTGGCCCCACATGGCTTACCTCATAGCAATCTGGTCAGTGAAATGAATTCTGTAAGGCAAAAATTATACAACAACGTTCTTATTGGCCTATAATTTATAAACAACTGGACAATGTTGGCCACTTTAATGGTGAGGCAAAATATATACAACAATATAATGTTCTTATTGGCCTATAATTTATAAACAACTGGACAATGTTGGCCACTTTAATGGTGAGGCAAAAATTATACAATAACGTTCTTATTGGCTGATAATTTGCAAACAACCAGACAATGTTGGCCACTTAATGGTGGAGCAAAAAATTATACATAACGTTCTTATTGGCTG